ATGACTAGACTACAATAATAAATAAATAAGAAAAAATTCATAATATGTGATTTTGGATCTGCAAAAATTACATTTGACATTTAGTGTAGTTTTTTTTTTTTTTAAAAATACAAAATTATGTTAATGGGGCACAACTTCGATTTAGATTGGCGGAATTTGCTCTTGTTACTTGGATGTGATGTAACGGTAATACAATAATGACAGTTTCATTAAATGGAAATCGGTGTACTAATGAGTAGGGTGTGAACAAGAAACCTTGATGATACTACAACAATTTATATATATTTGTAATAATATCATTGACTAATAAGTAAGGTGTGAATAAGAAATCATAATGATACCACAAAAATATATATATACTCTTATAGTATCACTGAGTAATATGATACTACAACAATTTATATATATTTGTAATAATATCATTGACTAATAAGTAAGGTGTGAATAAGAAATCATAATGATACCACAAAAATATATATATACTCTTATAGTATCACTGAGTAATATGATACTACAACAATTTATATATATTTGTAATAATATCATTGACTAATAAGTAAGGTGTGAATAAGAAATCATAATGATACCACAAAAATATATATATACTCTTATAGTATCACTGAGTAATAAGTATATCGGCCTTATATATATATATATATATGTGAAGAACAATGGTAAGTGAAAAAGTAAAATTTCGCTATGTATTACTCTTATATTAGAAAAGGCTTGTTTCAACATGCCCGTATCATCACATTTGATGATTTTTTTTTGTCTTTTTAATGCTCAAATATAGCTACGTATCTAACTCATATGTCTTCCATGTACACCTCATTGTTGTTTACTGTCTTGCCTCTTCTTTCAACTTTTTACTTCGTAGTTCTATGCTCATCAAAATTTCTCCTTTGTTCAACATTCATTCGAATTTCTATGTAAGCTTCTTGTTTCTTTGATTTTTTTTGTATATCTTTGTTTTCATTAAAATTGAAAGTTCATTAAAGAGTATTCCCTAATTTCAGATCAAATTTGATTTGGGTGTGTTAATATTTCTTTCTTTTTTCATTTGGATTTGTTGTTGATATTCAATTTTACTTGTGCTTTTCAATGATTTCAATTGTTGTGCCTTTAATTTTTGTTTGTTCTTGTGTTTTTCGTGTTCCATTTTAGATTTTGAGGCTCAAGTAAGCCTTTTGAAACTAAGATCGCTAAGAGAATGAAAAGAAAGACAAGAGAGCTTTAAGAAGACTTTGTATTGCTTTGCGGATGATTGCTTACAACTTGGTTGATGATTTACAAATGAGAGCCTCTCTATTTATACTACTTCCTAGGGGGTTAAAGTATAAATAAAAATTACTACACAAGTCCCTACTTATTTGTAATCATGTCCCTCTTCTAGAATTCTCTACTATTCTAGAGAATTCTAAAGTTTTCTAAGATATTTTTTAAGGCATTCTAGAGTCTTCTAAGAAAAGATCTAAGGAATTCTAGAGTCTTCTACTAACCTCTCCATAACTCTAGATTCTTCTCCCTTATTTTTATGCCAAATTTGAAGGGCAAAGTAGCGGGTCATGACACTCTCCCCCACCTACTAATGTGACGACCTTGTCACATTGCTGCTGCATGGACAACCGAGTCTTGTCTTTTCATATGCGCGACCAGTAGTCCATTGACTCGATCAATGCCCTTATAAAACTCCCTTAGTTGCTTCCTTATCTCTTCTAGCTTGGTCTTCTGATCTACCTCCTTCCTAGGAGACAAGCATCTTGGCGGCTTTTCTAGCATCACGTCCTTTCTCTTCTAGAACCTTCTCCATGCATGGTGGCAAGGACTCCTTATCACCATTGTCTTCATCCGAACTTGCAATGGTGGCTATAAACGTCAACTCATTTTTCTTAAGGCTTTTCACGAGTTGCATGGTCATTAGTCGAACTTGTCCTTCCATCGTTGGTACCTTAACAAGGGGTACCATACATGCTTGCTACATGACAAAGAGTCGTTGGAGGTAAGGATCGATTACCATGTGGTATTTTTGGAATAACTCTTGCCCAAGAATTATGTCAAAGAGGTCTAAGAGAGCGATAGTGAAGTTGGTTTTACCTTGCCACTCGCCTAGCGTGATGTTTACTCCATGCGCTACTCCACACACGGGAGTCGCTGGTGTATTGACCGTCCTGATATGGGCATTACTTGGACCGTAACTCAGTCCCAACCTTGTTGTTGCCGTCTTGGTCATAATGTTGGCCTCTTCACTCGTGTCGACCATAGCACGAGCGGGTCTTCCATTAATCGTAAGGTCGACATACTGCGCGTCGTATTCTCTCGACTTCCCTGGCTACTTCGTGATGGCTTCGCATAGTTCTATCAAGCCCAACTGAATTATAATCTTCCAAACTACTTAGTTTGGCTTCTCCAGGAGGTGATGGATATATATGAAAAATAAAAGTTGGTGCATTACTCACGTTAAATGACATTATCAATATTACAAACAGTTACAAAACACTTCCAATAATATACATTTATATTTTTATCAAGTAAAAACAATCTTTTTCTATGTTCTTTTTGCAATTTTTCGCTGAGCCCGTGCCATATGAAGAAATTGTTGAAAAAGGTATCATATGGGGATTATGATGACTCTAGGTCTTCTTTAACTTACTATACGCAGAAACCATGGAAGGACATGATGAATATAGCGATAGACCTTTTGTTGTAGATAAGAAATTTATTGAAGGACATGATGAATATAGTGATAGGCCTTTTGTTGTGGATTATCTAGCTACAGGGACATCTATGGATAGGTCTGATAAAGATATTTTCCTTTCATGAACTAGAGTTGTTGATGGTGCAATTTGAGGCATTCAAATCGCATTGTTATCCTGGGATAGTTCAGATGATGAGTACTTGAGTTGTTTCAACTATCTTAAGAATTCCAAATGCTCTGGTGTCGTACAGGTTAGATAGTGCTCCAAAAGTTAGAATCTCATATATTTTTGATTATGAATCAGAGCCTGAGAATGTGATTCAATTTGAAATGGTAGATGACTTGATTATTACAGAAAATATTGAGATGGTTTCAGATTTCGACATTAAAAAGAGAATATAGCTAAAATTGACACTGCTCAAAATTTCATAATGGAGGGAGATGAGGCCAATGATACGTTAGAAGGAGGAAAAGTTGCATATACTTTGTTGGAACAAGAGTTGGACAATGATGAAAAGCTTTTTTGCAAAAGAAAATCAAATTCTTAATAGTAGTATAGAGGCAAAGATTGTAGATTCATCTTGTGATATTAAGCCTTGTGATATTGTTTACACTAGCTTAAGGGAAGAAAATAGAGTATCAAATTTTGGAACTTATGAATTGAACTCTGAAAATAACATCATCTCACTTACTGGAGCTTCTCGGGAGAGTCAGAAATCAAAAACTAAGGAAAACGATAGTTATCAAGGAAGTGAATGTCAGGATATAGCCGCTAGAACTTAAATTAAATATTATCATAAATCCATCAAAGACAGTGAAGTTGAGAGCTTAAATGATAGGCTGTAAATGCAGAATGTTTCTAACAACTTTGAGCGTTCTCTCTTTCTTTCTTACTTTTTGATTATTTTGTTCAGGTGCAAGCTGTTTGAATTGTGTCAATATTTATGTCATTTATTTTATCAATGATTTCGTGTTGGTATGTATAATTTGGTGCTAGTATGTATAATGTGCAAATGCTTGTGTGAATAGACTTCATTTTTTTTACTAACTCGATCATCCCTTTCACCAATATATGCACACAACTTGAATAAATTGTTTCCTTACCATTTGTGGAAATGTAACCCAATAATTTTCAGCATACTTTAGTATTTACGAAAAGCAGACCTAGTGACCTACTACGTTGGGCCCGTGCAATATTTGCGCTAGCTCCTACCAAGTTGTTCCACTATAATTGTCATTAGTAATATGAAATTGCAAGTCATTTCAATACGCTTGAGACAAACAACTCAGAAGACGTTCAAACCATTGTCGTAACACTTTCGTCTAAATTCATTAGCACAACAACAATCCTCACATTTATGCATAGATGATACCAGTATGACTTGATCTGTAATGTAACAAATAGATACCTTATAAAAAGACTTCTATGAACATCAATGTCTTGATAGAAAAGTATTTACTTATATAATACACATAAAACCTAAAGTACATTGTCCAATAGAATCATATTAAAGTACTAAAGACATAATATTAAAAAAAAATATTAGATCATTTGAATCTTTAAACACATCTTCATTGATCAGTACAAATGATCAGGAGCTATACTCTCCATCACAGCAGCCAACGTGTGTTATTCCATAAACTAAATCAATACCTTACAAGGAACAAAAAAAACAATTCAATCAACTTGAAATTGTTCTTAGGAACAATAGTTTCCAGAACTGATCAAAAGGAGAAGAGGAGAAGAGTTTTGTATCTTTTCTATTAGAGAAGTATATTCTGAAAAACTTAACCACAATTACATACAAGACTCTCTTATATAGAGAGATATTTTTTTTCAAGACTTAATTACCTAAGAGTTAGATATAACTAACTTTTAGAACTAACTATTTTTTCCTTTTTTCCCTTACTCTCAACACTCCCCCTCAGGCTAGGAAGGGGAGAATATATCACACATTCCTAGTTTGGAAATAAGAAAGGTATGCTGGACTCTAGTAAGCCCCTTAGTTAACATGTCTGTTGGTTGTTGTTGTGTTGGAATGCAGTTTGTAGTCATCATTCCTTGAAGTAGTTTTTCTCTGATGAAATAACAATCAACATCAATGTGTTTTGTCCTCTCATGATATATAGGAATTGCTGCTATTTGCATTGCAGACTTACTGTCACTGAAGACACTTACTAGAAGTGTTACCTCACATCCAATTTCCTTCATCAAACCTAATATCCACACCAATTATGCTACAACTATTGCAAGGCTTCTGAATTCTACCTATGCAGAACTTCTGGAAACTGTAGTCTATATTTTTTACTTCCACGACACTAGTGAATCTCCTAGTTTCACAAAATAACCAGTTACAGATCTTCTAGTTTGTGGACAAGCTGCCAAGTCAGCATCACAGTAGGCACTAATCTTTTCTTCTAAACTACTAGATAGGAGAATTCCCAACACTGGTTGATTTTTAACATACCTCACCACTCTAAGTGCAGCTTCCATATGTGACTTCTTAGGATCTTGTAGAAACTGACTTAAAGTTTGCACACTAAAAGTTATATCAGGTCTAGTCATTGTTAGATAGAGAAGCTTCCCAATTAACCTCTGATATGCCCTTTGATCAGTAGGAGGATTATCACCTGGTTTCATGGTTTTTACATGATCACCAAACTGTTTTGAAGTGAGTTTCAAGTTATAGTCTATTGGAGTGCCAGCAGACTTAGTTGCTTCTAACCCCAACTCAGACAACAGTTCCAATGTATATTTTCTTTGATACATTAGAATTCCTTTGTTGGATCTTGCAAATTCAATACCAAGAAAGAACCTTAATTCTCCTAAATTTTTCATCTTGAAAGCTTGTTGCAAAGTGACTTTTGTTTCCTCTATCAGTTTCAAACTATCACCAGTGATCAACATATCATCTACATATACTAATACAAGTGTGACTCCTTCAGTTGTCTTCTTAACATACAAAGAGGGATCATAACTCTGAACAAAACCAAACCTCACCAATGCCTCTGACAACTTTGTATTACATTGCCTAGGGGCCTGCTTTAATCCATATAAGGATTTGACTAGTCTACACACCTTATTCTCCCCCTGGCTTGCAAATCCCTGAGGCATGTCCATATATATTTCATCAGCCAAATCACCATTTAAAAAAGCATTATAGGACATTCATTTGATGGATATACCATTTTTTCCTTGCTGCAGTTGCTAGCACAGTTCCAACTGTTTTCATCTTCACCATTGGAGAGAAAGTCTCTTTAAAGTCTATTCCTTCTATTTGATTATACCCTTTTGCAACTAGCCTAGCTTTAAATCTCTCTACCTCACCTGAAGCCTTATACTTTACTTTGTACACCCACCTACAACCAATTGATTTCTTGCCTTTAGGTAGACTAACCACATCCCAAGTATGATTGTGATTCAAAGCTTCTATTTCATCCTTCATAGCTTGTATCCATCTTGGGTCTTTACTGGCTTCTAAGTAAGTAGTTGGCCCAGTAACTGAGGAAGAGGCTGCTACATGCCATATACTCTTTGGACAACCTTCCATAAGACACATACTTTGATAAGGCATAGGGTACTTTGGTGAATGTTTAAGGACACAAAATCAGTCATCCACACTGGTGTCTTCCTCTCTCTAGTTGACTTCCTCTGGTCTTGCACTCTTTATGAACTGCTTGTATCATCTTGTGTCACCCTATGTTGTTCATGCTGACAATCTGAGAATGCACCTTGTGAACTTGTAGTATCAGAAATCTTATTCCTTATGTCAGGAACAACCTTCACTGATTCTCCACTTGTGGTTATGTCAGCTAACTCATAATGTTGTCCACTCAAAGGAAATATATACTGAGGCTCTTGAGGGACCTTATTCTTTTCTTTAAATGGAAACACATCTTCTCTAAAATATACATCTCTACTTATAAAAAAATATCATTCATCATATCATACAACACATATCCCTTCTGAGTATCAGAAAATCCCATGAGGACAGTGGACTTTGTTCTAGACAACAACTTGTCATGCTCATTCACAACCTTAGCATAGCACAAGCACCCCACTACTCTAAGATGATCACAATTAGGTTTCTTTCCTTACAACCTTTCATAAGGAGTTTGATAATGAATAACTGAACTTAGTAACCTATTTATAATATACACAGCTGCCAATACACAATATCCCCAGAACTTTATTGGAATTTCCCTTTGAAACCTTAGTGCTGTTGTGACCTCTAAAATGTGCCTGTGTTTTCTCTCAGCCATTCCATTTTGTTGTGGAGTGTAGGCACAGGTTGTCTGATGAATAATCCCTAGTTTTTTAAAGAAACTATTACACAATGAGTTCACAAACTCATAGCCATTATCTGTTCTTACAACTTTTACTATCTTATGAAACTGAGTCTGCACATAACTAACAAATTGTTGAATTTGAACATACACATCAGACTTTAATTTCAACAAAAACACCCAAGTCATTCTGCTGAAATCATCAACAACTGTCAAAAAATATCTATTTTCATTCATAGTGGAAATTCTATAAGGCCCCCACAAGTCCATATACACGAGATCAAAGCAACAAGTAGTTTTAATATTGCTAGAAGGAAATGACAACCTAGTCTGCTTTGCACTAGGACATACAGAGCATTGTTTTATTCTATCCTCTATAGCCAAAGACTTCTCAACAGACAAAATCTTTTTGAGTACATTAGAAGATACATGTCCAAACCTCTTATGCCATAAGTCCACTTCTGCTTGTTTCTTCTCCACAGTATTAGCCGTTAATACTTCATTGTCTCCATAACTAGTTACCTTTTTAGCACTCTGATCAGCCAAGAAATACAGACCACCATTAACTCTTCCAATTGAACTCACCTTCCCAATGTAGAGATCCTGGAACACACAGAAATCAGGAAAAAAATTTACTGAACACTGCCATTCTCTAGTCACCTTGGACACTGAGAGTAGATTATAATTGAACTGAGGAATATGCAATACATTAGAAATATTGTTTCCCTCTGTCAAACAACTTTTCCCTACATTAGCAACTACAATTGTATCACCATTAGGAAGACATACCCTCTTTACTTTTTCAGACGTTACCACAGAAGACTCATCAAATAGACCTAATTCAGACACTATATGATGAGTAGCTCCTATATCTATTATCCACTGTTGTGACTTAGAACAAGCTAGAAAGCACTGATTATACCTGCGACATTAGCCACATCTGCTGCCTCAGTCTCCTGTGTTGATATACTGCTAGTGTGGATCATCTTTAGAATCTGATTATATTGCTCTTGTGTGAAAGCTGATTTACCTATCTGGCTTATCATAGACATCTGCACTTCAGAATCTTCTTGATCACATGTCATTGCCTTTACTTGAGAACATTGTTCACCAGACTGACCAGCCACTACATTATAAGCAGCACCACTTTCTATTCTTTGCTTTCTCTTGGTCTTGAAATCAGGAGGGTAGCCAATTAACTTCCAACAATTCTCCCTGGTGTGACCCTTTAACTTGCAAAAGTCACAATGAACATTATAGTTTTTCTTAAGCCTTTGTCCCTAATTTCTTGAATACATAGCTATTTCATAATCTCGCAACTGTGCACCTGGCCTAACTCCCAATACTCCAGCACTTGTAGCTACTGCCTTATGACTTTCATCACTTACAATCATAGCATAAGCTTGATTTACTGAAGGCAAAGGACTCATAAGCAATATTTGACTTCTTGCGTGAAGATATGACTCGTTTAATCCCATCAAGAACTGAAACAACTTCAATTTCTGAAGATGCACCACAAAATCTTTAGATTTATCACATTCATAGTTTGGTGCAGGAACAAGTGCTTCGAACTCATCCCACAAATCTTTCAGTTTCGAAAAATATGCACACACAGACATATTTTCTTGAGACATGGAGGATATATTCTTATGCAGATTAAAGGTTCTCACAGCATCAATTTTATGAAACCTCTCATATAGATCATCCCACACTTCTTTTGCTATAGATGCATACATTATACCCCCAAGCAATTCTTTAGCAACAGAATTCATTATCCAGGATAACACTACTGCATTTACCCTCTCCCAATTGTTCCCCAATTCACTAGGAAACTTATCTTTAGCACAAGTTCCATCTATCAAACCCAATTTATTTCTTCCTAACAAAGCCACTCGCATGGATCTATACCAGATTGAGTAATTCTCAATACCTGTGAGTCGAAACGATATGATATGGGCACCACTCACATCTGATGGATTGAGGAATAATGGATGATTGTAATCGATCACATTAGGTTGCATTCCACCTTGAACAGAGGATTGAATCCCACCTAGACCAGTCGTCCATGTGGCTGAAATTTCAGTACCCACCATTGCTTCAATTCTTCAAGATCGCTGATCTTGACTCTGGCTTTACACCTCAATTGAACTTTCAACTGTAGGATCGTCGAATTTTTCTAGATACTCTAACTGGACTGCTCTGATACCATGAAATTGTTCTTAGGAATAATAGTTTCCAGAACTGATCGAAAGGAGAAGAGGAGAAGAGTTTTGTATCTTTTCTATTAGAGAAGTATATTCTGAAAAACTTAACCACAATTACATACAAGACTCTCTTATATAGAGAGATATTTTTTTTCAAGACTTAACTACCTTAGAGTTAGTTATAACTAATTTTTAGAACTAACTATTTTTTCCTTTTTTCCCTTACTCTCAACACAACTAAAGAAGAAGTTGAGCGAGGGACAAATATTAGAAAGTTACAAAGTAAAAGATACATTTGTCTCATCTATTGCACAATCATTTTCAGGATAACATTTGATGGATGGACTCTTATATAGCTGATGGCAAACTTGCAGTTAGTTTCAAATGAAAATAGAATAAAATTAATATATATAGATAGAAATAAGTAGAAAGAGTATCAACATGTCAATTGTATGTTCTACAATAGGTTGATGAAATTTCATCTTGGTCAAGTTTCAAATCATCTTTATTCTTTCATTTGAACCCTTAATACACTATCTACCTTTAGAATGATGAAGGTCCATCTCAATAGTCTTAAATCATTTCCATATGAACTCTGAATATATTATGTTTCATTCCAAAACTTTCTCCTTGTATTGTGATTTCTATGAAATAACTATTGATAAAATAAAATGTAGATATTCCTTTTTCATTTCAAATTCATTAATTTGTAATCCATAATGATCCAGATTAGTTAGGGTTGTCCATGAAACTCTATCTTCTTAAAGCTAATTTAAAGATATAGTTACAGAAAAATAATAGGGAACAAGAGATATATTCCTTTACAAAAAAGATAAATTACTTATATACACACCTTTTTTTTTCCATAATTCCTATTATTCCCAACTAGTTCTAAAATTTTCCAAAATCTCTTATTTTACTCCCAAACGCTGGATACATAAATCCTAACTCCCAAAATCAACATTTACCCCTTCCTTATTTCACTCCACAAATCTCTCTTTATTTTTAGTCACAGAATCTTGATAGTTATTTTCATTGAAATTTAAAATCAGTCTCTTTTCTGTAGGTTAAGGATATTTTTAGACAAAAATTTTTTAAAAGGATATTTATGAGTCTTTTACTTATTTTTAAAAATACACAAAAAATTATAATTAAATAAAATAAGTGAATTTTCAACACTAAAACGTAAATTTGAAAAAAAGAAAGTAGTAGTAGTAGTTATTATTTGGTAATAATTAATATAATATTTATAAATTTTCCATAATTTGAGTTGGTTATGAACTCTAACAACTAATCATTCATCGAAATTGATTAGGATTCTTGTATTATTATTTAATCTTCCCATTATTTAAAATACTAAATAAGTAAAAATAAATCAGCAATTAATTATGGAATAGCATTGTTCACGTCATTGCTACTTTGCCATGATTCAGCACACCTATATATGGGTTAGATAAATATGAATTCATATAAATTTAATACACTTTCTATTTTTTAATCGATTGTGTTTGTTCATGTATCTAATTGGTAATTTAATTCTTATTTATTGTGATACATTTATAGATACACTTTATTTCAGCTCACATACATTCTTCTTTCACAACCTTATTGTATCATATACATT